CCCTCGTTGCTCCTCAGGCTGCTCACCTGAGACATCTCGATGCCATCAACGGTGTTCCGACGGCCAACCCGCTGCACAACCTCGCCGACTCCTGAACAAATCATCCATCCATGCATGCAGCCAAGCATAAATATCAATAGCTACAACAGCGAGAATAAAGAAACAAGCTCATGACAAATGTTACATATTATATGACTGTGTGCTTCTAGATTTTTTGCAGAAGCACTCGAGGTTGACTTCGGTTTCACACGGTTCGCTTGGGGCTGAATTAGACACGACTGTCGACTTCGCAAAAACGTCATTGGATCTGCAGGGGCCAGGAGGGTTGGGGTGGATCCGAGCCTTTTTGGTTTAGGCACCAGGTGGGGTCCCAAGCATGGGGCTTTGGGCTTATGTTTATACAGCCCTAAAGCTCCCAGAAGTACCCCGGAACCCCCTAAAATGCCAACTACACCGACTCAAAGCCCAAAAGCCAAAAAAACCCTCTGCCAAACCCCTTGAAAACCGGAGGCCCAAGCCTCAAACCCGAAATCTCTCTAAAATCCGTCAAACACTCCAAAGAAATCCCGATGAAAAAAGAGCTACAACCCCGAAACTCCCATCTTGCATTCTCTGCCGGGCGCCTCGGAGCGCGGGAGATTCCACCTCTTCCAGCTGCACGCAAGGACTCAGCAGCCGAGGCCTTGTTGCGGACAGCACGGCTTGGGGACCCCCCCCCCCATGCCTCAGCCTCGAGGGTGTTTGGGCGGTGGACTTATGGAGGGCCCTGTATAAGGGGGCCCTGTATAAGGGGTTCCTTGCATAAGGGTATAGGGTCTTATAGAAGGCCGTCTAAGGGCTCCTTTAATAACATGGGGTTCGGGACTCAAGTTTCCTCAAAGCCTGGGGCTTCAGGGTTTTAAGGTTTTGGGGCGCTTAGGGCTTCGGAGCTGCAGGGAGTACGGCTCTTACTCGGCTTTCGGGCTGCAGGGCCTCGTTCGGCCTTTTGAGGCCCATGAGGGTGATTTAAGGTTGAGGGCTTCGGGCTTCGGATTTCGGGTTTAGGGCTTAGGGATTCTGGGAAGTCGTCTTCCGGGGTGAGTGGTCTTGGTGGCTTGTTTTTGCTTGAAGGCCAGCTAAACTTTAGAAGCCGGGGTTTGGTCTTCCCTCAAAGCCCCGAAAACTGGAACCCCAAACCACTGACGCCCAAAAGCCCGAAACCTTCAGCCCTCATGCCCCAGAGCCTGACCTCTGCAACACGGCAACCCCAACCCCAGGATTTGAAGACTTCTTCTGCCAGCCCCATAAGTTTAGAGTTTAGTGTTTAGGGTTTAGACCAGCCTTTCTTCTGCAAGCCCTAGACCCAGAACTCCAATCCCTCAACCCGAAACCTCCAAACCCTAAACCCTAAACCCTAAACCCTAAACCCTTAAGCCGTGCCCGCAACTCTTAAACTGTTCAGCCCCTCAAGTCTCACCCAATAAAGCACCTCTGTCATTCGTACCGGAGCTTCTGCTAGCAGTACATAGTCTTAAGCACCCTGAACCCCAAGAACAATCCTTACAGAACCCTCACAGATCTCTTGAGATCTTAGCAAGCAGAAAACAGCCAAAAACATAAGCTCGAATCACGAGGTCGGCACGTGGATCTGGAACGGATTCCGCTGCACAGTGTAGGGTTTGGGCTTTTCGGTTTAGACCCAGAACTCCACACCCTCAATCCGAAACCTCTCAACACTCAAACTTGTAGCCCCAAACCCCGCAGACTAGTAGGTTCTGAGCCATGATAACTTTGTGGGGTATAAACCCTGGAAACAGTAGGGCTTTTGCATGCCCAGGTGACTTCTGCAGCCCTTTGAGCAAAACAAACCTAAGACTAAAAACAGCTCTTATATAGAACCCTCACAGAACTCTTGCACACAAGTCACTCGAAAAAACGACACAAGAAGAAGGCTGCCAAAATAATGAACTCGAATCACGACGAGGCCGGGACGTGGATCCGGAACGGATTCCGCTGCGCCGGGCCGGGAATCTCCACCTTCGGAGTGGTGTTCATGATTCATAGAGTAGTGGTTTTGTTTTAATAGGGGGTTTTCACAGGGGCTGTGAGGCCATCCGCAGTACGGGCCCCAATCTGGGCTCGGGCCTCCACCAGCACCTGGACCACCTCCGGGAACTTGTTGAATGCGGCGGACATGAGGGCTGTCTTACCTGTCTTATCGCGGGCCTCAAGGTCAAGCTGGGCTCCGACCTTCAGCAACGCCTCGACAACCCTCAGGCGGCCAAACTTTGCAGCGACAGTGAGAGCTGTGCCACCCCCACTAGAAGCCTCCAGCTGGGCTCCGGCCTTCACCAACGCCTCAACCACCTTCGCGTGGCCGTCTGCAGCGGCTGACATCAGGGCTGTGTCACCATGCTCATCTCGAGCCTCCACCTGAGCTCCAGCCTTCAGCAACACCTCGACCACCTCCACGTAGCCATTCTTTGCAGCCAACGTGAGGGCTGTGTTGCCAGACTCATCGCGGGCCTCCAGCTGGGCCCCGGCCCTCACCAGAAATTCGACCACATTCTCGAGGCCCTGCCCGGCAGCAGAGACGAGGGCCGTGCGCCCTCTCTCATCTCGACCTTCCGGCGAAACTCCGCCCTTCAGCAACGCCGCGAGCACGTTCAGGTGGCCCTGCTTTGCGCCGCTCGTTGCAGCAATTGTCAGGGCGGTGCGGCCTCCCTCCTCGCGGGCCTCCAGCTGGGCTCCGGAATTCAGCAAGGCCTCGACCACCTTGAGGTGGCCGCTGAAAGCCTGGGTTCTTGTTAAGGGACTAAATTGAAATTACCACAATAAGAAGAAACCGCATGGGATGTACTTTAGATCCCTGTTGAAATTAAATCCCTCAGCAAGAGCCCAGAAGCAGCGACCATGAGGGCTGTGCGGCCGAGCCGATCCGGAGAGCTCGGATCTGCCTTCTGCTGAAGGAGTTGCTCCACCCGAAGATGTGGGCTGGGCTGTTCCCGCCTCCCATCATAAGCCTTAAAAAAGGCCTTCCGAAGAAGCTCCTCGTGCTTCGCTTTTAGCTTCTGCGCGTGCCTGAGAAGCTTGATCGTCATCCCGGACACGGAGGCGAATTTGTCCCTCGACCGTAAGAGCTTGTCGGCGAGGCCCAGCTCTTCTTGGCTGACTCCAACAGCGGCCCGGGCTGCGAGGTGTGGACTCACGACCTGACAGAAAGGGGGAAGCGGAGCGGAGCGAAACGGCCAAGAGGCCTTCATAGTTAGAGAACTTACAGCCTCTGAAAACTCTGCACCTGGCGGAGCTCTTGGTCCTTGCCGTCCTGCTCCTGCTTGGCCTCTGGTGGTGGGAGACTCTCGTCGCAAACTAACTTAAGACGAGACAAGCTCATGGACAAAAGGTCCCTTTAAGGGGGCCTCCACCAGCTTCTGCACGTGCTCTGCCAAGGCCTCGTCCAGGCTGCAAGCGCCCGAGCAGTCGATGCACTGCCACTGCAGCCGCGACCTCCTTGCAAAGGCTTCTGCGCTCCAATGCTTCATTGACTTGGCGCAGGCGGGCAAGCGCACAAGAAGCTGCTTCTGCA